TGTAAGTTTAGTGGGTCTTAGGGCCTGACACCATGCACGGACCTTGCCCTCATAGCTTTCACGAGCCCCATATCTCAGACCCCGCACGGATACCCTATAGACGCCTTATCTCTACAAGCCCTATCAAGCCCTTGAGCCCCAAACCGTGCAAACCTCCTAAACCCGCGAATCCTCAAGGCTGGGGAAGAAAAGTCTAAAGGATCATGGGACTTAATAATTAAGGTAACTATGCTTAACTTATAGCTTATAACACATATTTTTCTATAACTCCAATAAAGGCACTGATAACCTGAAAGACCTAGCTACCGGTTTTGCGCGAGGCTCGGCTGCCGGGCGGATCCCAACCATGAGGACAGGGCTTCAACAAAGGGGGTTTTGTAGATTTTGCTCTTGGGCTCTAGAGGTATGGGGTGTTGTAGGCTTGTCGTTGACGGTACTAGGTGTATGTCTATATATTCAGAGATTTTAGGGCTGTAAGGAAAACCTGAAGAGGCTTAACAATACCCTGGTCTATAGGCAGCATCTGCAAAGTGGTGATCTGATGTTCAGGACGAGATAGGCCGAATCCCAGCCTACTACGCCAATTTGCACGGCTATGCTGACACGGCCGTGCGGGCCACGGAACCGGGATTCATTCTCCTCGTGATGTTCAAGAAACAGGGAGCCCCAACATAGCTCGAAGTAGTAGTCGGTGTCATCGTTGTCGTCGTCATCGTTACTGTCGTCGTCGTGCTCGACGAGGTCATAATGGTAGCAGTAGACTCCCAATCTCAGCAAAGCCCCACTTGCGAAGATCAGCGAGTGTTCGTGGACCGAGGTTCTGCTACACAGCTCATCGAGACCCGAGCAGGCCAGAGCATGTCTTGTCTGCTGTAGACCATCCAGGTCCTGAGGTTCTCAGGCCTATAACAAAGCCCCAAAAGGCTCTCACGCCTCAAGCTTTCAACTCCCATCCCGAAACATAATTCACCAACCCGAGTCCCAAGCCCTGAACCTTGAACCTTGGCTAAGTGGTGAGGGCGTCTCAAACATGGGGGGGATCACATCCCCTGCGCATGACCTGCCCAAACGAGCTCTTCTGAATGTAGGAAGGATGCCGCAGCTTGGACAAAGGACTTCGCAAAAGAGTCCCGAAACCGACTTGTCGCCAAGAGGGATGTGTCCGCTGGTCAAGCCTGCCCGCGAGAGAGCTGAATGATCATTGTGATGATTGTTGTTCGTGATACTAGTATTGCTATTAGTGTTAATTATTAAGATCATGATTAGTAGCAATTACCTCGCGGGCTCAGGCCCTTCTTCTGCGAAAGTTTGACTCACAGAGACTGTTTATTGAGTTCACATGCACATGAGTATATGTATACTCTGTCTGTCTGTCCATCTGTCTGTTTGTCTGTCTGTCTGTCTGTCTGTCTGCCTGTCTGTCTGTCTGTCTGTCTGTCGGTCTGTCGGCTGTCGGTCTGTCGGTCGGTCTGTCAGTCGGTCTGTCGATCTGTCCGTCCAAGTCCGTACTTGCTTGTCTGTATGTATGTCGGTATGTCACGTATGTATGTCTGAATGTTTGTTTGTATGCATGCATGCATGCAGATACATCGAAAGGTGTACACGTCTCTTGGCCATAGTAGGTACGGTACTTTGCATGGTCTGAGTCTATGGCGTTAGGATGATACCATGGAGCGGCTTTCCGCTGCTAGCACTGGTGTACTGCACCCAGCACTCCGTAACGCCTGACATTTACTAGAGAGATCGAAGCCTGAGGCCAGCGCTTTGGACCGCGGTACCTGTGCATCTACCTGGAATTGGCCTTGGCTCCAGCTCTGCGGCTCTCAGAGAAGTTCAGCAAAGACATTCTGGCCAGGTCGCCGTCCGTTCTCCACACCGTGACGCCTGGCCAGTCGACGCCACGAGATGTGATGGCTTCCCTCAGCAGCTGAGAGCTGTGTTGCCTCTCTGTGCCCAAGCTCTGTGAGCCTTTGAAGCTTCTGAAAGGGTGGAAGCAATGGTTCACAGGAGCTCCGACTTTGGTGTCCTTTGAAAGCTTTGGACGCCCTTTTTGCGTTTTTCTTGCGCAGTCTCATCGCTGCCTTGAGGGTCCAAAGCCAGTGGGAGCGTTTCTGTCGGCATGCCTTGCAACCTCCCGGCACATCTCGGATCCGCGACTCTCGGCCCAGTAGTAGTCGTGCAGGGGCAGGCGATTTGTATCGCCTGTGGGGAGCCCAGAACAGCACAGCCGCTTTGCTGTCTTTCTTCTGTAGTTGGTTGCTCCCCTTCACTGGAGACTACAGGTAGTTACTACATGCTTTCTAAACGTTTCTTCATCTTCCAGAGCAGCTACTCCCCTAACCCTAAGCGGCAAAGACCTGCACAGGACATGGAGCCAACGCGCGGTTGCCAGCTCCAGTGCTTGGGGCTTGCAGTGGGCCGTGGGGCTTCAGGGGTGCTGTGACAATGTGCAAGATCGCGCCCGATAGCGGTGGTGCAGGGTCGGAGAGGGGCGAGGGTCTGGGTGTTGACGGTGCATCTGAGTTGTTTTCAAAGGAGGTGAAGAAGCTTGTGCCAGAGCATTTGGCTCGAACCTCTGCCCTTAGGGCAAGGACGAGTATTCCGCATTCCAGTTTTTGCTACAGCAACCGGGCACTGCACTCAGACGCAAACTCCAGGTGGGACGAGACGGGACGAGAGCAGACTTGCTGTGGATGCCTTGCTGTTTCTGCTCCCTCGCTGCCAAGGTCGTCTATTTTGCATGGTGTAGAGGATGTCATGCACGCAACAAGTGGTTGAGCAGCGGATAGCACGTCGAAGGGACCAGGAGGCCCGCTCTTGTTCTGCCTGTAGGGTGTTGTTTTGGTCTGCTGTTCAGTATTCCGAAGGCGGCCGCTAAGCCGTAGATTCAGCAGTTGTGGCAGAGAGAGCCACCTTTCCAGGGACTAGCGTTGCCTTAAGCCTTCAGCCACAATGTGTTGAGATCAGGCATGCAAGCAGACTTTGCGACTGCTACAGTGTGCTGGACTACTATATTATTACATATGCTTATTCTACTATGGTGTACTTTGCTCTATCACAATAAAGGATATGCCATAAACTAAGTATTGCATATCCAATTTTAGAGGTGTTGGCAACTCTAAGTTCTCCCAAGCTCCCGAGAAGCAGAGCCAGGTTTCACGGTTCAGGGTTTAGGGTTTAGCCCTCAGGGGGCTTCCATCGCACGCTGTTGAGGGAATCTTCACGTCGCTAGGGCTTGAGAGCTGCACACCCCAACTCCGGCGCACCACTTGAAGCCTACATTGAAGTATTCTATGCTATAGTAGAATAGGAATAGTAGGAATGTAATAGCATATGCCCTAGAGGCGCAGACATTGAAGGGTTAGGACCGAGTGTAATAGTTCTATCGTAATCTGTAGTAGTACAGCACCTTATAATTATCCTTGTAATGTAATAATACAGTCGGGTCCTGGGCCCCACCGCGGCAGCCATAGCCACACAGGCCAAAGCGATTGACCTCCGCAGACGCCTGGCGCAGTCACAGATCCTCCATGGCCAAGCCACTGGCGAGGCTTGGTGCTTCGGTTTCGACTTTGTCGGACGACTTAGTGCCGTTCGCCGGAGGGACCCCGCCCCTCGTGAGCACCCTAAACCCTTTTAATCAAAAAGCCCAAACCCTTAGCCGCCTCAGCCCGAGCTGTTCGCAGGTCCCGTGACCCCACTTTCCACTACTCTCGGGGCCGGATGTAGGCTTGACGGAAAAACCTGCACAACAGTCTCGTTCTCTATTCTTCTGGCTTCTGCAGAGCTGCAATGCTGCCCGTTAAGCTGTGCAACCCTATTGTTTGCGATTTATTATGAGCCGGATTCCAACTGAAGGGGTGCGTTGGAGATATATGATGAACCGGAATCGCCATTTGAGGGGGGGTGTTCAACATATATGATGAACCGGCGTCGCCGAATCAGGTGGCGATAAGGGGTCGTGTTCACGGTATTTGTATGATGAGCCGGCATCGCCACAATGGATGGCGGTCTACCCCGGCAGCGCGTTTTTAAAACGATATGCAACCAAAAAAGGACAAATCTCCACCCCCTTTACTCAAAAACAAGGCCTGGACAACCCGCCAGCACCCTTTCAGAACTTGCAGCCGGCGCCCCGAAGCTTCCACCCTAAACCCCAAACCCTAAACCCTAAACCCTACACCCTAAGCTCTAAACCCTAAACCCTATAAACCCTGAGTCCTAAATCCTAAACCCTAAGCGCTAAACCCTAAACTCTTCCTCAAGGCCCGCGCCGAGGGCCTCCGAAGGGCGCGCTCGGAAGCCGCCGAGCGCCGGGAGCTGTACATGGACTACGAGATCACCCGGTACCACCCCCCGGAGTTGAACTTACCTTTGGTTAGTAGGGAATGGAGGAATGGGGTAGAAGTATGACTACTATTGCTATTAGTACCATTCTTCCATTCCCTACTAACCAAAGGTAAGTGAAGGGCTTTCTTGGGGCCAACTTTAGTGGGGTCTAGGGCAGGCTTGGGATTTTTAGGGGGTTGCAGGGTTTCATTTTTAATTATTTAGTGGGTTTAGGGTTTAGGGTTCTTGATTTCTCAAAAGCGTCTCTTTCGGATGTTGCTCTGACGTCTGCATGGCTTGGAATATGGAGAGCTTCAGAAGCACTGGGGTCCGTCATTTGGGGTGTTCTACTCTGTTTCAATCTTTAATTGATTCGTCCTCGTGTTTCTAGCGTTTAGGGCTCCATAGTAACGGTTCCTTATTCTCTGCATCTCCCCTGCTTCTGCCTGCCAGGCAAATGCAGGAGCCGGGTCACATCAGCGCTGCAGCGGTGTCTCGGCCTTCGATGCATGTGCCGCGCCCTGCAATCTCCCACAGGAGAAGGCAAAACTCTTCCAGATCAGCCAGTTCGAAGACCGAATTGCGGATGAGCTGGCAAAGCCATAGCCATAGTATAGCAGTGATGGCGAACGCCCTGCAGGCTATGTCACGAGCCCGTGTCGTGTGTTCCAAAAGCCAGGCGAAAAGCAGTGCAGCAGCGGGAGGTGCGGCGGTTGCGCTTCTTGTGTTCTGCCTGTTGCTGCCTCATTCAGCAAGCAGCAGAATGATCACTCCCCGTCGCTCGGGCACATGCAGAGCCTGATCGACGCTTGTTGTTTCGTTCGGCGACTCGTACAGCACTCGCGGGCCGTGAACGATGAAGGAGTCGAATCTGTTGTCGGACGCATGCAGGCACGTGTATGCCGTCGAGTCTTGGCTGTCGGCCTTCGATCGAGCTTCTGCTTTCTGCTTTCTGCTTTCGCTTGGCACGGTTCATCGCAGAGGACATGGCATTGTTCGATCGCAGCAGACTCAAGACTCAAGAGCTCGGCCCACCCTGGAGGCCATGGACCGACGCAGGATCTGCGACGGCTCCGAGGAGCTGCGACAACTCAAGGAGCGCCTCCACATGGCCAAGGCGGCTTTGGCGGGTGGGGACATGGGTACACTGACTCCCGGGCTCGGGGGGGTGGGGTTGTGCGAGGTCAACAAGGAGCGTGCGCACCAGCTCCTCGAAATACAGGCGCGGCAGCACCAAAACCCTTTAAGCTCCGAAACTCTGAGGCCCCAAACCCCCGAAGCCGCCTCGAAGCCTTAAGCAGAGCCTAAGCAGTCTGCAGGTACGCAAGGAGCGGGATCGACTCATCGAGCACAAGTTTGCAGAGAACATGGCAAACCACGTGTCGCCTAGCCGCGCTTGCGATCGCTTGCGTTCTTTGGTCCGGTTGCTTGAAGGAGATGTTTGGAAGTGCTGTTGTTCAGGGGGGAGGGCGTCCTGGCAAGGCTGGAGCAGGCAGAGCTAGAACACAAGCTCGTCATTGAGAAGGACTTTTTCTGGGCTATCTGTGTTGCCCATGACGAAGTGTTCCTTCAGCCCTGCCTGCAGGACAAGCAGCGGCAGCGAGTGAAGAGCATCAATCAGCAGCAGAGCCTGGGTGGCACAGCATGGCAGCTCACGCTAAACCCGAAACCAGAACACCACAAACCTAACCAGGATTGCGATGAAAGAAGCGCAGAGAGACGAAGCAATGCAGGAGCCCGGCATGTCCAGTAGCTCTTGGACTCCCTTCAAAGCTAAGTGTGAGGTGGAGTCGGGTGAAGATTCTGTGGCGTTTTTGTATCGGTGGGGTTGGGCTTTGATGAGAGTTAGATGCATGGAGCTTAGGGCCTAAGGTTCTCGAGCTTTCCGAGGCTCTAGGGTTTTAGGGGGTTCGGGTCGGAGGTTTGTTTAAGTACCTTGGGAGTTCTCCAAACCCGGCTCGGAAGCAGTGAGACCAGACAACAATTCCCAACTACCTTTGGCCCTCCAGTCAAGGAGCCGCGTCGGTTTGCAGTTGGTTTTGTGGTTTCGTTAGTTCCTGATCCTTTCCTCATTATCGGCTCCCCTGTCTTTCCGTAGAGCCCCAACGCCCTAAAGTCCCGATGTCCTCAGCCCCTAAGCCAAAGGCCCGATAGCCGTTGTCAAGAAAACTCGGAAGCCCTAAATCCCAGCAGCCTTAAACGCTAACGCTCTGAAGCTCCAAAGCTCTAAGCCCCCAAAACCCGAAAATCTTAATTGTGCCTGCAGGAGTACCAGCGGGAGCGCGCAGAGGTCGACAACTTGGTCGCGCAGATCATCGATGAGAACGAAAGAGAGAGGAAGGCCCCCTGAGTTTTGAGAAAAAGCCAGCTGTCCGACCCAGGTTACGGATTTTCTGGGTTCAGAGTCCGAGGTTGCAAAGGATCTCCAGAGTGCCTGCTTTTTGCAGGCGAAGGAAGAGAAGCAGGCAGAATCACGACAGCTGCGTCTTCCTCGGACTGCCCACGCAAGAGTGGAGATGTAGAGCAGCCCAAGCCCAAGCCAAGGTTACAGAACTTCCTCGTGGAGCAGCAGCAAAGACAGATACAAAAGCTTGCGGAGGAC